GAAGTCACAGTAATTTCTAGAACCAGTCAAAGAAGAGTATGTGTGTGGGTTAACAGTAGTGCTGACCCCATAAAATACATAAGATTGCTTTACTTCCAGCTCCTTCCTTATCTGTACCGCCTATACCTATGCACCCACAAGTTTTTTGTAGATTAAATCTCCAAAATTGCCCACCACTACCACCACAATTTCATTGAAAGGTGTTTCTTGGTTCCCCACTACACACTTGCTTTTCCCCATCTAGACTTTTCATGTTAGTGTCCTCCTACTGCCCGTGGAGTGAACCCTGTTGGGCCTGGGAAGGGTGTCACTCAGTCTTGCAGTGTGTGAAGTGATCAGTTGATTAGAAAAGAGTGAAACTCTGGCTGGAAAAATGTAAAGAAACACCCTACTGGCTCAGTTGTTTAGAGAGCTGGGGTAGGGGTAGTATATTCTGTATGTGGATATCTATAGATAGATGAGATGATAGATAGATAGACAGGTAGATAGATAGATACGGTTTTGTTTTTACTTTAACCAGAGTTCTCCGTATAGTTGTCTTCATTCTCCACTTGACTTTGCAATGGATCGGCTCAATTTAAGATACCTTATCTTTTTACGCTTTTGGGCTGCCTGAAGATCACAAGCACCTCCAACATCTCCCACGTTAGCACTATGGGAAGCTGTCACTTGCCCTCGGGTTTTTCTCCCACTTTGGAGGCTAGTTTAGGTCTTTCAATGTGTATTTGCCACAATGAAAGTGCTGTTAGTCAAGCAAAGCCACCCGAGCTTAAATCAAAATTCTGTGGGTTTAATGAGAGATGGGCTTAGAAATCTATAGGGCTCTGTGGAGCTTCTCAGATCTCCCAAGGAAGGAATTTTGAAAAACATCCTGAGCCTCCACCAAAAATTGCAGCTCTGGAGTTTGAATCTTGAAGAAGAAAGGAGGAAGCTATGCTCACTATGGTGGAGAAGCCTTCATTCTTTGATGTGACGGAGTTTCTTCCTGAGATGAGGCTTTAGGAGTGTGGTATTGTGGGGATCGAAGTTATGCTGAGGTTTAAAAGAAGAAACTGGAATATGATTAGTAAACACGTTGGGCAGAAAAGAGCTGGATTCATATTGACTTAGTTATAGGGCCTCGGCTGACAGTGCAATGGGAGGAAATATTTACTTTACACATATACTTTATGATCTTGGGGGAATTAGAGGAAATTCAATAAGAAAACAGCTAGAAACATTTAAAACCCTTATTTGAAAGACTTAAGCAAATTAGAGTCTTATCAGATTAAAAACCACTACAAATGTAAGAGCATTGTCTTCGGTGAAATGCTGTGGGGTCTGAGAAGGAGATTCTCCGCCAAATCTCAGGGATAAAATGCGTCACTTAAGCACCAGATAATGAGCAGAATGTAAATTAATTTAACCTTCTTTACCAACAGGCTGCTGGTGTAATATGTATAATTTAGTGACAAGATCGCAGGACCTAATATAGCTGGATGTAGGAGCCTCAGCTAATGCAGACTTGCCACATGGGGATGTGTTCTGCTCTGAGCAGGTGTGTGTATGCGTGGAATGGAGTGAAGTGGAATAAAAGGGTAAAACCAGTAATACTGACTTAAAGCTTACTATAAAGAAAGTTTCCCCTTGTAGCTAAATTCTTCTTAAAGTGAGATGATACTTGTGGGGAAAGACTGAAGAACAATTCTCATTTGGTTCCTTAGTCTGCTCTCAAGAGTGTTTAAAATGGGGGAGGAGTTGTAGATAGGGTTTGCGGGGGAGAGCAGGGCAAAGGAGAGACACATAGGTTACAAACATATCTGTTGTTGGCTTCATCCACCCTGCCCCAGACTGAATGTTTCCCAATCTTGTGAAGGACAAGGAGGGAGTTTTCTGAAGATACCTCATACTGGTGTTGCAAATCATTGACTGTAATGTCAAACAAATACACACTCGGGGATGATAACACTAACTCCACAATAAAGCAATCGCCAACGCAGAAACCCAGGGGAGATTAGTTTGTGCTCTCCAGCTGACCTAAGCCGAAGGACAAAAGGCCTTTCAAAAATTATTTTGGATATGTTTGGATTTCTTTCTTTAATTTCTTTGGAAACTAAATTTCTTTGGAAATACTGCTGTAAAGAGTTGGATGTCCCCAAAGGTGGCTTTTTCCTTTGTTTTCCATAATGCATGAGGCTTTGCCTTTCCTAGCTGACTGTTCTAGGCTTTGCCCTTCCCGCACACCCTGCCGCCTCTGCCTTCTTGGACTTTAATGATTCGAGACAGCCTTGAGCTCCCTAGGACAAGAAAATGACTTAAAAATTATCCTTGAAATTGGTTATTTGGCAACATTCTTAATTGTATGGAAATTCATTAAAGCATATTTTATATATAATTAGCTCAAGGCTGTTGATTCTACAGGCTTTATGGATTTGAATCTGATTGATAATAAAGTAAACAAGAGAGTCGAATTTAAAGCTTAGCTCTCCCTCGGGTTAGGACGAGCTTAATACAGTGTACAAGGAATTTGAAAGATCTAGGATATGTGTCTTAATCAACGTTAAGTAGAATGGATAAGCTTTCAGCATTTTGAAAATGCCGGGTTAGGATTTCTATTCTATTGTGTATTTTCTGTCTGGGGACTAATAAGCATTACAGAGAACGTGATCTGAGGCGACTTTTTATTCTTGTATAAATCCAGAGTGAACCACCAGACAGTTGTTCGTTTAAAGTCAAGGTAATTTTCTTTTGACGGGCCCATTTGCTTCTCGATTTCTAATTTATTAGCCTGCCTTCTCGGGGCTCTGTCGTCTTTGCAATTAAAGTAAAGCTTCTTCAGATTAGCGCAGCATTCACTTGACAAGTTGTTTGGAAAATTTAAGATCGGAGAGGTGATTTGTTGGTGTTTTTTAGACGTTCTGGTTTTAAGCAGCGCGTCTCCTTTCCGTACGGGGGGAGAAAAACACCTCTGGATTGGAAATGGATGTAGTGGAGACACAAGGGGGGAGGGGGCGGGGGCTTGTCGATTCCTGTACCTTTTAGCCCTCGACCTTTCCTCTCCTTACTCCCAGCCTCGTCTTTCCACCTCCCAGCCCGAACTGAAAGCCGGATCGTCTTTGGCCCGGCTGGAGCAGAATTCCCGGGAGCCGGCCCGTGTAGACTCGGTGGGCGCAGGGAGGTATAGCCCGGCCCCGCACCGCTGATAGGTGCAGACGGGACTGGCCCCCGCCGCGGCTCGGGGCCTCCTGATTGGTGCGGAGCCACGCCACTCCCGCCGGGCGGAGGGTGAGGGCGGAGGCGGAGGCGGGGAGGGCCGGGGCCGCGTGACGTCTCGGCACCAGGAAGCCCGCCTCTGGTTTTAAGATGTTAGGCCGACAGGGAAGCGCGGAGCCGCAGAGCTGGTCGGTGGCTCGCCCGGGTGCCGGGAGCTGAGCTGCGGCGAGGCCGGGCTGGAGCTCGACGGCCCGAGGGCTGCGCGTGTGCGCGCCGCGGAGGGTGCGCAGGAGGCCCGCGCCGCCGCCGCCGCCGCCGCGGGGATCTAATATCAGCTACCTGTCCCTGTCACTCTTGACACTTCGCTGTCAGGGCTGCGGCGCCGGGGGCGGGCAGAGCGCGGCCGGCGTTAGCCTCCCTCATTGGAGGGGTACTTGGGGGAGGGAGGGAGGGGAGAAAGGGGTCTTTGCCCACTCTTGTTTCGCTTTGGAGCTCGGAGACCTGCTCCCCAACGACGCTCGGCGCTGTGCCCTCCCGCCCACACCCCCATGTCTCCGTGTGCCCGCTGACTTTCGGCCGCCGGACCCTTCCGCTAGAGCCTTCCGAAGGAGACGCGGGCCGCTCGGCTGCAGGACTGGGCGGGGGTTGTGCCCCTGGCTCTGCCCGCGGCGCGGCAACTCCGCGCCTAGAGCGCGACGCGGGCAGGCGGCGGCCGCCGCGGGACTCGCAGGGCGGCGCGCTCCTTCGCCCATGAACTGCATGAAAGGCCCGCTGCACTTGGACCACCGAGCCGCAGGGACCAAGCTGTCGGCCGCCTCCTCGTCCTCCTCCTGTCACCATCCCCAGCCGCTGGCTATGGCATCGGTGCTGGCTCCCGGTCAGACCCGCTCCCTGGACTCTTCCAAGCACAGGCTGGAGGTGCACACCATCTCAGACACCTCCAGCCCCGAGGCCGCAGGTAAGGCGCTGCCGGCCCCGCGGACGCCCCCGCGCAGCCGCCCCGCGCCGCTCGACCCTTCTCGCCCCCAAGGAAGTCGGCCCCTCCTCGGGGAGGCGTGGTGGGAGTGGTCGTCCTGCCTGCTCCCCGGAGAACTTCCGGAGCCAGGGACCCGCGTCCCTTTCGCTCGACCTCGACCGCCGGCTGGTTTGGCGCGGCCGGCGTGGGCCATTTTTCCGCCCTCCTTATTCCTACCCTGGCCTCCCTCCTGTTTCCTGGGTCACAAAATCCCAGCATCTCTATTCCAGGACGTTCAGAGGCCACCCCGCCAGCCCCCACCCGGTCCCTATTCTCCTCTCGGCTTTCAGCTCCCGAGAAGCTCCGCTTGTTGGAGAAGTGTTTCTAAAACTACTCCTCAGGAGAAGAGGCGCTTTTGCTAAATGGCGGAGGAACAAGGGTGCCTAACCGAATCCCTAAGTCCAACTTTGCTGTCCCGGCGATACCGCATCGAAATCTGAGCTTTCTTCCCCGGGGGGCTCTGTAAAATGCGCGCGCGCGTGTGTCCCCGGAAATTTGGTGTGTCTGCGCAGAGGCGTGTAAATATACTTGAAAGCACAGGCTATAAAAGTGAACGTGCCGCCGCAGAGAGATAAACATGTAAATAAAACGTGCGGCGCTGGGGGAGGGGAGGATGGGGCGCGCACACGCACACTCCCGCCCGCGGCCCCGCGCCCCCCGCGCCGCGAGCGCCGCGCACGCCCTCCGCCCCCGCAGGCGCCCAGCTCGCCCAGTCCTGCGCCGCCGGGTCCGGCTGGAGTTCCGGGTTGCAGGTGGGCACGCTGACAGGAACCTTGGTGTGTTTCGTTTTCAGAGAAAGAGAAGAGCCAGCAGGGAAAGAATGAGGACGTGGGCGCCGAAGACCCGTCCAAGAAGAAGCGACAAAGGCGGCAGCGAACTCACTTCACCAGCCAGCAGCTGCAGGAACTGGAGGCCACTTTCCAGAGGAACCGCTACCCGGACATGTCCACGCGCGAAGAAATCGCCGTGTGGACCAACCTTACGGAAGCCCGAGTCCGGGTAGGAGCCGGCACGGAGTCTGCGAGGGCGCGCGGGGGCAGGGGTTGTGGAGATGCACGCTTGCAGACCGGGAGGGGTGTGGAAGGCAGCGCCGGCCGGAGGGCGCGGGCCGGTGCCTTTGCACAGGCAGGAGGCCTCCCGGCGGCCTGGGTTGCGAGCTCACAGCTCCCCCCTCCGAGGCCGGCCGCGGGCCTGGCGCACCGCTCCCTGCCCCGCCGCCCAGCGCCCTCCCCAACTTGGCCGCGTGGCATTCCCCAGCACGGGGCATTGTGTTCCCGGCTTGCAGTCGCCAGACGAGCGCTAATAAAATCCCTCCCAGGCCAGGAGCCCAGAACAGGCTCCAACCTGTGCGCCTTAACAAGGAAAACCCGCCAGAGACACGCAAGTGTTGGCCCTCCCTGGGAAACTTTCGCGCCCGGCCTGGCCCAGCCTTTTCTCTACTCCGGCTCGCCCTCCTTACACGGGCTTTGTGGTTTGTCGGCCATTCAGGTCTCTCCCACCCCCTATCCCCCAATTTTGTGATCTCCAGAAGCAATTTTAATACAGGCTACTATCCTGCTAGTCCTCTTAGAAAGAAAAAGAAAAAAGACTGTTCGGTTTGGTTTATTTATCTTTTCTCAGGAGATAGTTACACCCTTCCTCCCAATTGTAAGTTTTATCAAAGAAAGGGCTTACCTTTGTAGCAAATCTGTGCTCTATGGATTATCAAAAATGAACTTAAATCAGTTACCTAGTAGCAACATCCTGGTTTATGCTGGTCGGTGGAAACTCCAAATCTGTTAGGATTCTGGAAGCAGAAAACACACATAGCAGGATCCACAGTCTTTGCTGTGGGGAAAAAAATGCTCTGGATAGAAAAATAGAGCTCCTAGTTAGAGCAGAGAAAGCAGAAAGAAGAAAACCGTATAACAATAATGATGAAAAGAATGAAGACCCAAATGCGCTCCCAAAGCAGAGGGAAGGAGGGCACTCTCTGAGTGGCGTGTGTGTAGAGTCTGAGGCTGTGCTGGTGGATAAAAGAGCCGGGATGAAGTTGGAGATGGTTTTAGTTTAATCGCCCAGAGCTAACGCTCGGCTGGGGCCGCGTGGTTTTGCGCAAGGTCAGTCTTTCATTAGCTCTCCCTCTCGTCAGGGGAGCGGGCCTCGCACGTACTCTTTTCGCCCGGGCAAAGTTTAGACGGCCTAGGGTAGAAACGGCAAGTAATTAAAATAACGCAATCTGTGGGTTCTCTGGAATCCTTCGGAAAAGCCCTCCCCCACCCTCCGGCTTTTCTGCAGTCCCTCCCCAGTCCCCTGCCGCTGCCGCCGCTCCGGGCTCTCGCTCCCTCCAGCTGCCTCCTTCCAGGCCCGCCGCTTGTCCAGCCAAGTGGGAGTGAAGCGTGCTTTTTAGAGTAGTCGGGTGCCAAGAGGAAGGGGGATAAAAAGGAAATCAAGAATGAAAGGGAAAAGGAAAAAAAGCGGATTAGGCGGCTGGGTCCGGCTGAGATGTGTAATGTGAAACATCACCCGAGTCAGTTTGGAAATCTCGGGCCAGGCCTCGCTCCAATACACAAAAGCCGCCGTCTGGGGCGACCGGCGGCCCAATGTGGATTGAGAGCGGGGTTGCGGTGGGGCCACCGGCCGCGGGTGGGGGCTGACTGGGCTCGGGGGCCGCCTACAAAGCTTAGCAACCGGACTGGGCCCAGCCGGAGCAGCGCCGGCGCACCGGCCTGGCCTGGGGTGGCTGGAGGGTGGGAAGGAGAGGAGTGAAGGGAGGAGGAGGCCGCAAAGCGACCGGTTCTGGGTTCCCGGAGACTTACGCGCCAAACTGGTGGATTTCCTGAGCTGTTGGGGAGGTGGTCTCTTGTTTTTTATTTGGTTATTTCACTGGGCGAGGAAGAGGGTCGTGGCCCGGCGCCTGTTGAGGGCGCACGTTTCATGGGGTGGGGGGCGGCAGTGGAGGTCTGAGAGGGGAGGGAGGAGCTCTGTGGGGGAGAGAGCGGGCCTCTGATGCCCTCTCAGCCCCTTGTCCTCATCACTGAGTCTGTGGCTTTGGAATGGAAGCATATTTGCAAGGCGGCGGAGGAAGGGTTGGGCGTAAAACCCGCTGCCCCGCGTTTATTTTGCAGTAAGTGTTTTTGGACCCCAAGGAGGGCCTGGGTTAGTGAACAAGCCGCCCGCAAGCCGCCAGGCGTTGAGCTGGGGTTTGTGGAGCAGCTCAGAGCCTGGGCTCAGACCCGGCGGGCCTCCCGCGCCTGTTGGGGACTCCGGGCTGGGGACTGCGTGCGGGCTCTGGCAGCTGGGGGCTCGGGGCGGTGGGAGGTGAGGGAAGCTTGCGGCGAGGGAGGGTGTGTGTGTGTGTGTGTGTATGTGTGTCGGAGGGGGGTGGCCTCCGGTGCTTTCCAGGATCGAGGTTTTACTGATCCGATCTGTGGCGTCTGTTTGCTCCCTTGCTTTCCACTCCCAGGTTTGGTTCAAGAATCGCCGGGCCAAATGGAGAAAGCGGGAGCGAAACCAGCAGGCCGAGCTGTGCAAGAATGGCTTTGGGCCGCAGTTCAACGGGCTCATGCAGCCCTACGACGACATGTACCCGGGCTATTCGTACAACAACTGGGCCGCCAAGGGCCTCACGTCGGCCTCCCTGTCCACCAAGAGCTTCCCCTTCTTCAACTCCATGAACGTCAACCCCCTGTCGTCGCAGAGCATGTTCTCCCCGCCCAACTCCATCTCGTCCATGAGCATGTCGTCCAGCATGGTGCCCTCAGCGGTGACCGGCGTCCCGGGCTCCAGCCTCAACAGCCTGAATAACTTGAACAACCTGAGCAGCCCGTCGCTGAATTCCGCGGTGCCGACGCCCGCATGTCCTTATGCGCCGCCAACTCCTCCGTACGTTTATAGGGACACGTGTAACTCGAGCCTGGCCAGCCTGAGACTGAAAGCGAAGCAGCACTCCAGCTTCGGCTACGCCAGCGTTCAGAACCCGGCGTCCAACCTGAGCGCTTGCCAGTACGCGGTGGACCGGCCCGTGTGAGCCGCGCCCACGGCACCGGGATCCTAGGACCGTGCGGGATGGGGCTGCTGCCCTTGAAAGGCTGGGAATTACCTAGAAGGTCGTGGGCACTAAAGAAAGGGAGAGAAAGAAAAGCTATAGAAAGGAAAGGAAACCACTGAATTAAAGAGAGCGCTCCTTTGATTTCAAAGGAATTTCCTCAATGTCTGACATCTTTCACTAAAAGTATTTCCAACAGTTGCAAGGACACACACAAATGTTTGACTGGATATGACATTTTAACATTACTATAAGCTTGTTATTTTTTAAGTTTAGCATTGTTAACATTAAAATGACTGAAAGGATGTATATATATCGAAATGTCAAATTAATTTTATAAAAAGCAGTTGTTAGTAATATCACAACAGTGTTTTTAAAGGTTAGGCTTTAAAATAAAGCATGTTATACAGAAGGGATTAGGATTTTTCGCTTGCGAGCAAAGGAATGTATATACTAAATGCCACACTGTATGTTTCTAACATATTATTATTATAAAAAATGTGTGAATATCAGTTTTAGAATAGTTTCTCTGGTGGATGCAATGATGTTTCTGAAACCGCTATGTACAACCTACCCTGTGTATAACATTTCGTACAATATTATTGTTTTACTTTTCAGCAAATATGAAAAAATGTGTTTTATTTCATGGGAGTAAAATATACTGCATACAAATTGGTCTGGATTCTTTCTGCCCTCCTCTGTCGCCTGGCCAGGGTTTCTCAGTCACTGCCTCCTAAACAAACCAGTTCCCTCTGCCTGCCTAGTTAAACACACAAGGCAGCAGTACTTATTTAAATTTGGGAGAAATAAATTATAGTCATTCATCAGAAACTAAAAAGAAAAAAAAAAGTCCCCAAAAGAAAACCTGCAAAGTCTGGTCTTGTCTCCCAGATTTTTCTTTGCCTTAAACCCAGAGGATTCCATTATTACTAGCAAATAATATAAAAGACAGAGAAGAAGGGAGAAAGAAATTTAGAAAGTAGGCCAGCTTGGAATGACTCTCAAGTTTATTTGGGGTGGGGGGCTGCACCTCCAGTAAATTGCTCTGAGGGGTATGTGTATGTATACATGTACAGTTTATATACATTCCTCTCAAGAGGAATACGTCTATAATAAGTTTACAAGGAAACACCTCCGGTTCAAAATATTTAGGCCTCCACGTTTAACTTTCAGGCTTAAGTAGAGAGATTCTTCATGTTATATTGCATTACTATTTCCAAATCCTTTCTAGACATTAAAAGAAACAAAGACCATTTCCAATAACTACAGCCCTTTGGTTTCTCAAAGAGCCCAGGGGTTCAGAGGTTAGAGTGGCGTTTCCTGAGTCTTGTCGAGCAATATGTAGTTGAGGCAAAGGTCACGATCCCCGTGTTTTGTTTTAAATAATATTGACCCATTAATTCTAAACCTGCTTGTTCCTGAAATTATACAGGATTATAGTTTGCAAACTGCTGGACAATGAAGCAAATCAAGATGAATTACAGCCCTGGCCCTCCCTCCCATCCTCTGACATCTAAACGGGGAATGAGGTCGGTGTGAGTGTTTAAAAGAACTTTAAGCACCCGCTGTTCCTTTGTTGGTGGTTTCAGCCTTGTTTTTTTTAAATGTGAAATTTGATTTCCTAACAAATAGTAGCAAATACGACTTAGTCCCAAAGAATTCATCACCGTGGCGCTAGGCGGGTCGCTGTGTGTGGGGTTAGTTTTGAGGTCTTTTGCTGTCCTGGTCACACCCTCCCCCCTCCGCAGTGGGCGAGGACAAACACCACCCTGGGGAATCGGGAGCGAAAAGGAGCCGCCGGTTTTCTGGAGCCGAGAAAACCTGTGTTTTTGCGCTTCGGTTGGTTTTATCTGACAGCAACTTTACCTATAAGCTTTTGGAGCTCAGACACTGAGCCTTTGTTCTAAATGCAATTGCTGCTGCCACTTAAAGAGATGGCGGATAATGTCGCCAATTTAAGATCAATGCTCAACGCACACTAACTTTCTTTCCTTCTTTTTTACGCTCTGCCTCCGACCTGCAGAGGGATCACGCGGCGGTGGGGGGCAGATAAAAGGCCTTTGGACGAGGGTCACCTCCGTCCTTGTTGTTCACTTGAGAGCAGTGGAGAGGAAACCGGTCCCCAAGGGCGGACTTTGGCTTCTGGAGCCGCGGGGCCCGACCGTCCGGGCCTCCCCGAGTCTCCGCCTCGTGGCGGGGGAGGGGCGGCGGGGGAGGGGGAGGGGACGCGGAGAGGGGATTTGGGGATGGGGTGCTGGCAGCGCTAATGAGACCTGCTGGGAGGATCTGCGTCTCCCGCGGGTCCTAGAGTGACTTGGGAGTGCTGGTCCAGGAGGCGGGTCTCGGCATAGTTCGCTTGCTGAAATAGAACCATCTCGAGGAGATCAATCAATCTGCGGGAACAAAATGGAAGTCGAGGTCTGAGCAGAGTTGTCACTTCCCCGACTTGAGTGGAGCGGGCTGGGGGCGGAGACTCCGGACGGAGGAGAGGCCCTTTCTCCCACCTCAGCTCCTTTCCCTGGGTTTCCAGAAGGAAGGATTACCCTCCTCACCCCCCTACTTCCCCACACCCATCCCCGCTCGCCCGCCGGCCCTTTTCCGCACCTCCTTTTCCCTTCAAGTGAGAAAAACTTAGTTCCCGAGCCAGTGGAGTGGGTCCCCTCGCCCCTCCCGCGCCCACGCCGGTCCCCCTCCGGCCATCGCTACTGCCACCACCTCGGTTCCACTCAATCGATTTTTACTGCATGTCAACACTTATTACCGGTGAGTATGAGGGTATTTTTCCTCCTTCTCTAGGTCTCTTAATGATTTCTGAGCTAGTTGTGTATTAAAGTGCTTAAAGGAACCTTTAAGGTAATCTATAGCATGAACACCAACCCCCTCGGCGTGGGATCAAAGATGGCGAGCGGGAGGTCGGGCCCCTGGAGCCGGGCCCGCAGGCCTCGCCCCCACCGCCCACCTCCGCGCGCCCGGGGGCCGGCCCGGAGCAGGCGCCCCGCGCCGGCGGCGGGCGGTCGAGGGGCTTCCTCCTCCCCCGACCCAGCCTCACCTGCTCCTCTAACCCGGCCTCCCTCCTGGAAGACCCCAAACCCTTCATTCCATTCAAACGGGTGGAGCCCTGGGGAAAGGTGTAGATAGCCCAGGTTGTCTCACTTTCCTCCCAGTTCCTAGATCTTAGTTTTACTCTCCACGACTTGGTTAGAAATTTAATTTTAAAAAATGTGTTGGGCCCGTGTAGGCGGTTTGATTAGTAGGCAGATCCTCCCCTTCGCCTCCCGGCCCTGCTTTTTCCCCACCCCCACCCTCCTCCTGCGAGGTGCTGAAACCCAGCAGTCCCTTTACGAGTGTAACAAAAAAAAAATTAATGGGAAAAAAATAAAGAGAGCCTTAAAACTTCCAATATTCCTCGAAAGCCCCATAAATTAACCCTGTAAAGAGCGGCGAGCTCTTTTAAGGCGAGTCTATAAAAACCTGGCGCGATCTCGACCCTTCCCCCCCAACCCCCGTCGCGAATGTGACCAAAGAAAGGTCTATCCTGCAATCCACATCCTAATCCGCGGGCGCCCTCGCCGCCGCCGCCGCCCGGCTCCCCAGCCTCCGGCCGCCCACCGGCAACGCGGGCCAAGCTGGGAGTCCCCGGCTGACCGATTTACATCGAGAGAGAGAGAGAGAGGGAGAGAGAGAGAGGGAGAGAGAGAGAGGGAGAGAGAAGGAGAGAGAGGGAGAGAGAAGGAGAGGGTGTAATTAGATCAGAGGCCTTTATGAATATAGGGTCCCTATTGATTGACTTATAAACCCCCCGGCAAGCTGCAGTTAATCTGAGCACACCGCAAAGCAAGAAGCCTGGCTGACCGAGGGAAGAGAGGTCTCCAACTAAAGGGGAAAAATTTCTTGTAGTATATTTTGAGAAAGAATTTTTTAAAAACTATCCTTCTTCCCCCACCCTCCCTAATCTGACAATTTCATTTTTACTGAACTTGAGAAAATAGTAATTAAGGATGAGATTTTTAAAGTAACCATGGGTTAAGTAGAAACCCGATTGTAAACACATAACTAATTTATTTACCTTTTCAGATTTTAGCAGAGGAAACCAGGGAAATTTTACTCTAATCTTAAAAGTTTATTTATCACCCTTACCCCCTCCCTCCCAAAGGGAGGCCTTCTCATTGTTGACTTCCTATCTGGAAAGATAGAAACCAGAATTTATTGTTTGGGATGCTTAACTTCATTCACTTCTGTGCTGAGTATTTTATGCATTTTATGTAAATGTTGATTTTTAGATTTTGTTTGCCGATTAGAGAAGGCCTGCAAGAAATAAAATATCCCATTGAAGACATATTTAATTCTACTTAATTACCTTTAAAAATCATTGCTACTCCTGTTGTAACAACGCGTTGTTAACAGCTCAGTGGCAGTTGTGGAAAACAGGAGATAATTTGAAGCTTAAGTTACTCAGCCAAAGAATGGCTAAAAGAACCATCTAAATCCCTTTTTTTTCTTTTAACATTTTAAAAAACATTTAATGAATATATATGGTAAAGGTGTTTACTTTGGGGGGTTGTGTGTGGGATTGCATTTTTTCCTTCTCTGAAGGGTCATGTTCCTACGGCCCTCCCTGCGCAGGGCGTGTGTCTGCACCCCCTGACTTTGATGGATCTTTCCAGACCTAGTTGTCCTATTCTTCCTGCAAAAATGTTGGTGTCCTCCCCCTCTACCCCCCCACCCCCGTCTGTCTCCTCCTATCTTCTCCCTCTCCTGTTTTCCTTATCCACACCAAAGTTTTTATTTGTTTGTTTCCCCCTATTCTATTGACTTAGAAAATGGCCCGCGGATGCTGGGACCTGAGGTACCAGGACTAAGGCTTGGGGTGGCTCCCTTAGAGCCCCGAGCCTCCCTCTACCAATGCTTCCTCCGTCCCGAAGTAGCAAAGCCTTTCTGCCTCCGCCGACACTTTGCAGCAGCGAGGGACCCCCTCGCACGCAATCCTGGGCAGGAACCTTTATCCTCGTGGCTCTGGGGAGATGAGACCTAGAACCGTCTCTGCTGTCCCTGAGACGGCGGTGGGGCAGCATATCGAATGTGACTTGGAACCCAGACTGGTGGCAATCCAGTTCTTGGGCGCTTTCCCGCATTCTGCTTGTGTCAACAGCCGCCTCAACTCTGCTGCTCCTGGCCGGTATCTGGGTGGGGTCGCTGCACCCAGTTGAAGCTCGATGGCATCTTTCTCGGTCCTCCCGGGTGGACCGGCCGGGCCTTCCCTGGTGTCACTTCACGCGGCCGCCTGCGTCTGGTGGACGGCGAGTCTCTGACCGATTCACCGCGCTCTGTGCGCGCACGGGGGCGGGGGTGCGGATGCGCACAGAGGTGGGGACACTGCGGCCCATCCCTAGTGCCATGGAAGGGCCTTTACCTGCCGAAGGAAGCCCAAGGCTACAGACGACAGGTCACTTGTTAGAAAATAATATAATATCAAACAAAAGAAAGTAAAGTAAAACCCTTCTGCAGGCGCTGGGCCTCGGACGGTGTTTCTTCCCAGGGCTCTGCTGACCTCAGCGCCTCCGGCCCCTGCTTAAAATCCGTGAAATCGGAGGAGCCGCTCTTATCTGATGAGGCAGGGCCTTGTTGTCTGCTTCTCTGACAGAGGGGGAAAAAAAAAGTCCCTCCTGCGAAGGCCGGGC